GCCTCTGTTGCTCTATAGTCCAGGGCCATGGAGAGAGCAAGCAGAGAGTCCATGTGGGAACTGCAGATGGATATGGCACGTGCCAGACCCCTTTAGCCCCAACAGACCTGCAGAGGAACAAGGCCATCTCCACCTAAGACTCCAGAGCCAGATACCTACAGCCCGGCTCTCACTGTGGCTGGGAAAACCTGCTCCTATCCAGGCCTCCCCCTTTTACTCCCCTTATCTCACAGTCTTCCCTTTCCTCCCCTTCTCCTCCTTTTCTCTTCCTCTTCCCTCCCTCTTCCTTCTCTTCTTTCTCCTCACTCTCCTCTTCCTTTCTTCCCTCCTCTTCTCCTACCCCCCAAGTAGTTGCATCCCAGGTGGGTGGTCTGGTCCTTGCTTATGGCTCAAGGGCAGGTATCAGAGGAGGGAGGGTCTTGGCTGCACCAGAAAGTCGTGTGGGGTTCAGGGTACTCAATCACAGAGACAGCAGGAAGGAATCAGCCAGCTACCTTGACTGTGTGTGGTGAGACGTCCTAAAGAGAGAACAGTTGTGAATACAGCGCCACATTGGTGGCTACATGCACCTGCTGCGAGTGGGTCCCTTTACCTTACTCTCTTTTTATATCTGTTTTTTTTTTTTCATTCCCTTTGCCCCCACACGCCCACATGCTTTATTATGTTCCCGATACTTCACATTACTTTGGTTGCTTTGTAGGTCCCATGCATTTTGGGTGCATGTGGAGCTCTTTTCTGCAGCCCCTCCTCTCTTTGAGATAGGGTTTTATATAGACCAGGCTGGCCTTCAACTTCATCTGTAGCCGAGGATGATCTTAAACTCCTTATTTTCCTACCTTCGCCTGCCTTGTGCAGGGATTGCAAGCATGCAACCCCACGCCTGGGTTATATTGGTGCTGGGAAGGATGCCAGGGCTTCATGAGCACCAGGTACACACTCTGAGCTACACGCCCAGCTGTCTTTCGCCATTCTCACTCTTCCCTCCCTTCTTCCTCGTTCTCTCATCTATCAAACATTTCCTCAGGGACCCAGGTGACACTCTGCACTGAATGCTGTGGGGACACAAGGTCACGATTAATAAAAACCCAGAGACAGATATTGGGGTTCAGTCTGGAGACCAGAAAAGCAAAGCAATCAAGCCACTAGGAAAGGCTTACCTCTACCGAGGTTGAGCGACTGCAGACTAAGCAGACTAGGCAGACTAGGCAGTCTGAGCCTCTTCTCCCATTTTACATTTCCTCTAGACCTGGGATTAAAGGCGGTGATTTCCCCAGGCCTGGGATTAAAGGTGTGGGCCACCATCACTTGGGTTTGTTTCTGCATTGATCTTGTATAGCTCAGGGTAGCTCTGAACCCACAAAGATCCATCTACCTCTGCCTTCCAAATCCTGGGACTAAAGGTGTGTATCACCATTGCCTGACCTCTAGTGGCTTAGCTTTGCCCTTCTGATCTTTAGGCAATCTTTATTTATTAAAACATAAATAAAAATATCACTGTACACAACAGTCTGGTGACCGCCCAGACCAAGACGCAAATTTATCCCATAGGGGTAAAGCAAGACCAAATACCCCATAGAGGAAGATACTTCTGTCCCCATCGAGGCTTGGTCACCTCAGGCTCTTCTGAACTGTCTTTGTGGATCAAAGGATGACTAAGCCCCCAAGGGAACATCATAGTTCAGGCATCAGTTGGTGGCTGAGCCCGGAGAGGAGATGACAAAATGTACGAGGCAAGAGCCAGGCAGACAGTTGTGTGTGATTGCCTATTCCTACAGATGAAGGGAGCGGCTGAGACTGTGGTCTGAGACTTCCTCAGTCCAGCAACCCCCGGGACGTGGTGGGGTCAGCAGGAAACAGACACAGGCATGGTGACAGAGTCTTTGGGAAGTGGGGAAGGAACACAGCCTGTGTCTCCTCGCAGAGCTCCTCCAGGTCCTTCTGCTGCCCACAGCAAAGCTGAACTATTTAAAGACTGTGGCTCTGTTTCTGCAGTGCAGGCAATAAAGGGTGATATCTTAGTCACTTTTCGATTGTTGTCATAAAACATCATGGCAACTTACAAAAGGAAGAGTTTGTTGGGGGGCTCACACTTGCGAAGGTTAGAGCCCAAGGCTGTCACACTGGGGAGCGGGGCTCACAGTTGCAGCCCAGTGTGGGGAGCATGACAGCAGGCAGGCGGGCAGGCATAGCACTGGTGCAGTCGGGAGCTCCCATCTTATTCACAAGCACAGGCAAAGTCGGTGTGCGCACACTAACTGGGAATGTCCTAGGCTTTTGAAGCCTCAAAGTCCACCCCATCCCGTGACATGACACACCTTCTCCAACATAGCCATATCTACTAATCCTTCCCAGTCTCACCAACTGCAGACCAAACATTCAGATATATGAACCAATGCGGGCCATTCTCATCCAAACCACCCAAAGGTGGCTTCTATGGTGGTATATTATTTGCATTTTGATAAATAAATCTTGCCAGATGCAAGAAGACCAGATGCAAAGCTAAAGCCACTAGAGGTCAGGCAGAGGTGGCACACACCTTTAATCCCAGGATTTGGGAGACAGAGGCAGACGGAACTCTGTGAGTTCAAGGCCAGGGCTACACAAAATCAACGCAGAAAGAAATCCAGGTGGTGGTGGCTCACACCTTTAATCCCAGTCCCAGGGAATCACCACCTTTAATCCCAGCACTAGAGGGAATATAAAATGGGAGGAGAGAGGATTAGTTTGCCTAGTCTGTGGGCACCCAGCTTTGGTAGAGGTAAGATTTCTCCAGTGACTTGGCTGCTTTGCTTTTCTGGTGTTTGGGTTGAACCCCAATATCTGACTCTGGATTTTTATTATTTGTGCTACAAGCTTCACAGAGTCAAGAGGCAAAATCCAAGCACTATGACAGGGCGAGCTTCTCTAATCCAAAAATATGAAATCCAAAATGCATCAGAACCTGAAACATTTTATTTTGTGAAAGGATCTCATGTAGCCCAGGCTAGCCTTGAACTTGACTTATAGCCAAGGGTGACCTTGAACCCATGATGCCCCTGCCTTCACTGCTCTAGTGCTGGGATTAGAGGTGGGCAAAACCACACCAAAATGAATAAAATGTTATTAAAAATTAAAAACTTCAGAATTTAGGGTGATTTGAATTTCAGTTTTTCAGATTAGGATGCTGAACTAAAAGTAAACCCTTGCTTCCTAAATTGCCTGTGCCAGGCATTTTGTCGTAGCAATGAAAACAGTATTTAATAAACAGCAAGCCTGAAATACTTGAAGAAACAGGGAATGGTCCACCTTATCACCTGGTGTGTGTGTGTGTGTGTGTGTGTGTGTGTGTGTGTGTGTGTGTTTGTACGCGTGCGCACACATGATGCACCTCTTCTGTCCCTTGCCATTCTGTCACACAGAAGTGGTTGCTGCCCTTTGCTGGGTTTCCAACTCCTTCACCTCCTACATTGACCCATTAAGGCTGGACTGCCCGCCTAGAATCCCCAAGTGAAGAGATGGGGTGTGACCCAGTGAGAGCCCCTGCCTAGAATCCCCAGTGAGGGGCTTGGGTGTGACTCAGAGGTAGAATATCTGCCTAGAGTTCCCCATTGAGTGGGTTTGCTCAGGGGTAATTCTTTTGCCTGGCAAACCGAAGGCCTCGGGTTCAATTTAGGGACTCAGCGAATTCTCCTACAACTTATGCCAGCTGTCCCGAGCTCAAGCAGTGTTACTCCCCCACCACAACATGAAAAGAGAACATCTACTTCCCCATTGTATACCTTAGATGACTCTGGCTCAGAGCTGTGGCTCTTACAATAAAAAGATAAATTATTATACTTACTTATTTTGTGTGGGGAGGGAGGTTGGATTCCTGGGTCTGAGGAAGGAAGCTGAGATTGGACCTTGTCTAAGGGAGGAGGGCTGGGGTTGGACATCTGGGTGTGAGAGAGGAGGCTGGACACTGGACTCCTAGGGTCTGATGGAGGAGGTTGGAGTTTGTGTATCTGGGCCTGAGGAAGGAGGCTGTGGCTTTGACACCTGGGTCTTGAGAAGGCTGGGGGATGGGCAGGGGGAGGGGACAGACCAGGCTCTCACAGTAGCCTGAGAGACTAGGCCTTAGTTTTGGTTCACTAAAATGGGACAGAGCTGTTTACAGACAGTCCTCAAGAAAACCACAACATAGGAGCAACCAGTCATCAGGTGCCCCACAGCCTTCTGCATGCTCTGCAGGCCCCCAAAGCCGCTTTACTGGCTCAGCAGGGGGCCCCCAGTCTCCTGATAACTGAAGAGTTTTCCCTACCCTGCTCCTGGAAGGTCCTTAACCATCAGGACCTCCCACCAATCAGCCCCCAGACTAATCTTTCCTCCACCAATCAGCCCCAGATTCCTTCTCCCTGGAATTCCCCTAACTCTGCTTAAAAGGAGCTTGCGACCTTCTTGGGGGGCGGGGGTCACCATGTGCCATCCCAATGTTAAAATTAATAAAGTGTTCTTGTTATTGCATACGTGGCTGCTGGTCTTTTTGGGGGGCTTCTCTCGGACTCTAAGTCTAGGGGAGGAAGACTGGGTCTAGACTCCTGTGACTAAGGGAGGAGGATCTGGGGTCTGCACACCTTGAGTCTGAGAGAGGAGGGACAGGACCTGGTTCTGGGGAGGAGGGTTTTGGCTCCTGCAGCAGGAGGTAGCGGGATGAAGTGCATCTCTGGCCAGGATTCTGGAGACCTGGAGGACGCCTGTGGCCCGGGGGAGGGCGGGGGAAGGGCCGGGCCACAGTAACAAAGGCCTCTCCCTCCAACGAGCAATCCCCCCCCGGCCCCGCCTCCGCGGCCCCCCGCTTGCCCTGATTGGCCGGTCTCCCTGCCCGTCAGCGCCACCCCCCTCCCCGGGTCTGCAGCAGCTCAGGCCGCCTCGTCGCGCCCCCCCAGCCCCCTCCCCCCGCCCCCGCCGCCCCCCGGGCCGGTGCAGCCGCAGGCGGGGTCCCCCTTCCCCTCCCCCTCTCCCCCAGGCTCGCGCGCCCCGACCGCCCCCTCCCCTCCCCTTCCGCGCCGCCGCGATGCCCCCCCCTGCGCCCGGGGCCCGGCTCCGGCTCCTCGCCGCCGCCGCCCTGGCCGGTCTGGCCGTCATCAGCCGAGGTACCGCAGCGCCGGGGGCGGGGGACTCGGCGGGGACGCCGGGGTCCCGGAAGGGGATACAGGGTCGGGGCGGAGGCGGGCAGGGAGGGACCCCTCGGGGTTGAGGATATGTGGAGGTCTGGAGCCGGGGACCGGAGGCAGTCCTTGGCTGGGCATGGGTCCTTGGGTGCATGGATGCGCGGGGTTTCAGGGGTGCACGTTCCCATCGTCAGCTGCTCCATCACTAACAAGAGGGTCGCCGACACCTGCTGCCGGCCTGGGGCGGCAGGGATGTACGGCTTTAGGTCAGGGAGGGGCTCAGACATTGGGGTGACAGTTTCCGTCTGGGCAGAGTCTCCAAACTGAGTTGGGGTACCAGGCTGGAATGATGCCCCGTGTGTGGAGGGGGTCTTGTCTTGCGTTTTGGAGAGGGTCCCCTGCGCAGTCTTTGCCTGGGGACAGGGCACTGCCTCTGCGTCTTTAGGCAGAGGTAGAGGAGGGAGTGTCTTCCAGGGTCAGCAAGCAATGAGGACAGAATGTCCACAGACTGAAAACCCAGACCCAGGGAAATCAGAGAAGCAGCTGGAACTCACTATCAGGATTTCCCTCGCACTGAAAGTGTAGGAATTTGGGGTGCTGCCGTTTACTGGGGGATGATCTTGGGAAGCCAGGAAGTTGGGGTACTGATCTAGTCTTGGATTAAATGAAATTTGGATGGAGAAATGGACAGGTGAAGGGCAACAGTGGGGTGGAGAAGGTAGGATAGGAGAGCTAATGCCAGTTACACGGGTCTCAACCGGTCCAGTGGGCCTAAAGACCCTCTAACAGCAGCTGTGAGTCGTGCCTTGAGAATGGATGTCTGAACTGCTTTCCCTGCCGGGCCTGTCAAGGAGAGTATGGGCAAGGAAAAGGCCCTGAGGGCACAGAAGGGAGAGGGATGGGGTGAAGACTGAGCTCTGGGTACCTAGGAAGCCAAGAAAGTGTTAACCAGGCGGTTCCACATCACTTCCTCCAGGCTCTGTCCAATCAAGCATCACAGAATCAGGGACACGCTCTGCCATCAGGGACCCAACATTGTACCCCAGCAGCCCCCAGGGAAGCAGCTACTCTGGGTCTCCAATCAAGTCACCCACAGTCACATAAACATCACAGTATCCCAGCCAAGCCACACCTGCAGACTACAGTCACATAAACAACCCTGCCCACGCAGGATGCGCCCACGCAGATCCATCTGGGGAGGGCATGGGATCGGGCAGGAAGGGAATGCGCTAAAAGTCCACACCTGAGCACGTACGCGACTGAGCGCTGTCTCACTTGCTGACTACTGGCCGGGTCCACTGTCACTTGAGGTTTCTGCTTCTGACTTATTTGTGGACCCCCTTTTGACCATCTCCTTCCATCCCTGCTGGGTTCAGCGCAGTAGCACATCTGCCTCTCAGACTGATCTCCGTTGACCCCTATGTCTGAGTCCCTCTTTGCTTACTCCCTCACTCAGACTGCATCCCTTGCTCACTCTGCATCTGTTCCTGCCTCCCCTTCACTGTACCTCCTTGACCCCTGGCCTCCACCCAACTGTCATCTTAAGGTACAGTCCCATTTGCCTCTCAATGTGCCTCTCTTAGGGTCCTCCCCTGGGGCCGGGGGTGGTGGCTCTGGCAAAGCCATATGACCTTGATCAGTGAAACCTGAGAGTGAGAGAAAGTGGGACCCAGTGGGTTGGACCAAGATAAATCTACCTGTTAGACAGGTGCCTCATTCATATCCTACTGCTACTTGGGGGCGGGGACACACCTTAATTTGTAAAGTATGAAAAATAATACCTTCTTTTTTAAAAACTCAAGTTTTTCATGAGGAGCATGGAAGAACCAAGCCCCCAACCCCAGCTTTCTCTCGTGTAGTCACAGATTTTTCTAGTCAGAGTCTCACTACGTAGTACAAGCTGGCCTTGAATTCAAGGTGATCCTCCTGTCTCAGCCTTCCAAGTGCTCAAATGCTGTGATTACAGGCATAGGAGTCTCCCTTCTCCCACAGTTTTTTTTCTTCTTCTTCTTCTTCTTCTTCTTCTTCTTCTTCTTCTTCTTCTTCTTCTTCTTCTTCTTCTTCTTCTTCTTCTTCTTCTTCTTCTCCTTCTCCTCCTCCTCCTCCTCCTCCTCCNTTCTTCTTCTTCTTCTTCTTCTTCTTCTTCTTCTTCTTCTCCTTCTCCTCCTCCTCCTCCTCCTCCTCCTCCTCCTCCTCCTCCTCCTCCTCCTTTTTGAGCAGGGTCTTAATATGTAGACATGGTTGGCCTGTAATATGTAGACCAGGCTGGCTTTGAACTGAAGGCAGTCCTCCTGCCTCTTTTTCATAGACTCTGGGATATGGATGTGGGCTGGCATGCCCAGGTCTCATGCACACCCGAGAGAAGCTGGTGGATCAAGAGCCAGGCAGCAGAGGAGCAAAGTCCCCCAGCTTTCTCTCTCTTTCACGACAAATTCATTCCACACAACTTTCTTCAATCCAAAGCAAAGAAGGCCTGGTTTGTTCTTGGCAGTGTTTTCTTCTTAAAACAGAAATAAAGTCAGCCTATTTCTTTGGCTTACTTACACTTAGCAAAACCTTCCTGGCTATGTAACTATAAATGTACATTTAGTTCCCCACCCCCAAATCCTTTATGCCAACACTGTCCACACACTTACATATTCATTCACAAAATGAGGCTATATTGGCTGGGGATGTGGCTCAGTTGGTACTGCTTGCAGGAGGCCCTGGGTTCGATCCCCAGAGCTACATCAGCTGACGCATAAGCTGAGCATGGGGGTATGAACTGTATCCCCTGCATTGGGAGGCAGAGGCAGGAAGATTAGAGGTTCAAGGTCAGTCTTTACTACTGAGCTAGCCTGGGCAATCTGAGACCCCGTCTCAAAACTAACTCCATCAAAAAACTCAGCAGTGAGTGAATTGGTGGAGAGAGGGGGATGCCCTTTGCTCCTGGGGCATCTGGAGGGGAGGGGGCATGCACACTGCAGCCAGGACTGAAGCCCATTCCACGGCCTTTGCACCCTGTACCATAGTCTGACTCTTGATCCTTTGTTTCCTTGCCATTTTTTATATATTACATTTTTTAATGTTGCATTTACTTAATTTTTAGTGAGGGTCAGAGGAAAACTTGTGGGAGTCAGCTGTGTGGGTCCAGGGGCTTGTACCCAGGTTGTCAGAACTCAGAAGGTATTGTCCTGCCTTGTGGGTAGCGCAGGCTGGCCTCAAACATGCCCTAGTGTCCTCAGCACCAGGATCACAGTTGTGTCCCGCCACACCTGAGTGTTGTGTACACTGCCATTCTGACACCCGAGATATGTGCTGTGGGCTGGGGTACGGAGCAAGCCACACTAAGCACCCCCTCACAGAAGCTTACAGTGAAAACACAGAGATCACTAAACACTCCCTCACAGAGCTTACAGTGAAAAGACAGAGATCAAGAATCAGCTGGGGAAAAAACCCTGGCAAACAATTCGATAGGTCACCTCAGAGAGTGAGGGAAGAGGCTAGAAGTGCCGTGGAGGACGCGTTGTCCATTTTGGAGGAGGCTGATCCAGGAAGCCACTGCTAGGAAGTTGAGAAGGGGTTAAGGCCTGAAGGAAGAGAGAAGCCAGCCTTGGTTTTCCAGGTCCCAAGAAACGCAGTGGACGTAAAGGCCCTGAGCTGTCGACCGCAGAAGGGGCTGCCTGATGTGTGGTGCAGCTTGCAGGCCTCACGTGAGTTCAGCAGAGAGGTGGGCTTCGGTGCTGGTCAAGCCAGAGATTATCCCCCTGCGGCCCTCCTCGGGCAGTCCTCATCCCAGCTTTGCCTGGGGTTCATCCAGGATCCCTAAAGACTCTCACTTCTAATTTCTGAACATAGGGCTTGTTAGAAACCTCTTCCTCCCATGACCTCTGTTTATTGATTTATCCTGTGAGTCTAGACTGGAAATCTCACGAGAGCAGTGGCCTAGAGAACCCTATCCTCACAGGATTCCTCCCTTCTCTATCCCTCAGCTCTCCTCCTCAGCTTGTTATTATATATTTATATACACATATTACACATAAATGAATGAATGAATGTTATTACATAGAATGCACAGTCTCACTATGTTTTTAAAACTGGCCTGAAACTCACTGTAGTCCAGGCTGGCTTGGAACTCTGTAGTCAAGTTGGCCTCAGATTTGGGGAACTCTTCCTGCCTCACTTTCCAAGTGCCAGGGTTACAGGCATGAGCTACCAGGTCTGATTTTCATGATGTCTCTCTAATCTACTCTATCCAGCAAGAGAGGCTAATCACCATTTTAATTTGTCAATGGGGAAACTGAGTCCCAGAGATGGAGAGACTTTTGTACCTGAGGGACAGAGGTGAGCCTTGATGCTGGGACTCTGCCTTTTCTCCTAGGGGAAGCTGAGGCAGGGTTGCTAGAACATATATTGGCAAGATGTCTGACAGGAGTGGCAGATCTCAGAAGTGTCGGCTGACCGTCCTCCCCTCGCCCCAGTCAGCGAGGCTGACACCAGGCCAGCTGACCGGACAGTCCGCCCCTCGCCCCAGTCAGGGAGGCTGACACCAGGCCAGCAAGAGAAGTACGCAGTTCTTTAAAAGGATGCGCTCTGGACACATTCTCAGCCCGTGCTACACGTCAGCTGCTGAGCTCAGCATGCCGCCTGCTTGTGTACTCTCAAGGCAGCGTTCAGAAGAAGTTGCACTAAATTCTTATTCTTTGTTTTCTCCAGAAGGGGAAACCGAGGCTCGACCCATGGGGATGTGTAGTCAAGATATGAAAGGGTAGACGCTGGGCTTCCTAGCCTTTGAGGTCTGTTACATGGCTTTAGAACCCTATATTTCCTCTCCAGACCCCTCCCTGACCTAAGCAAGGCACATTTCTGGGTCAAACAGATAAAAAACATGTGGACTGAAGAGACAGCTCAGTGGGAAAGAGCATTTGCTGCTCATGCAGAAGACCTGGGTTTGGCTCCCAGCACTCTATGGCAGCTCACAGTTCCAGGAAATCCAACACCCTCTTCTGGTTTCTGTGGAGGCCTCTGCATGCACATGGTGCACATAGACTCACACAGGCACACACATGTACACATAAAGTACAAATAAATGCGTGTTTTTAATCACAGCATCCAGAAATTCCAGGTCAGGTGAGGGAGGTGCAATAGACGGCCAAACTGGCTGCCTAGAACAGGACATGGGGTCTCTTCCCTGAGCAGTCACAGAGCTCTTCCTGAATGGGGTCTTGAGGAATGAGAAAGAGTTCAAGAGTCAGACGCATCCGTTCATTTTTATTCGGACAACAGCTGTTTCCAAGAAGATTCCCGGGGGAGCTGGGGGACACTAGGGACATAGATCTGAGTCACAATGAGGCTCTGCCCCCAGAACGCGTCCAGTCTGTAGGAGAGATGCCGTGTCATGTGTGAGTTTAGTGATAATGGAGAATGCCCAGACTCTGTGGGAAGGAAGAGCAGGCCTGACAGAGTGTGGGGGTGCTCCTACCTGGCTTTCCACATCAATAATTCAACATCTGAGGCTTTCTGCGGGCCAGGCACTGCACTGTATTGTGCTGTAGCCCCAGAGGAGTCCCACACATGGCCGCAATTGAGAAACTCAGGCAATATGGAGAGGAATCAGGTTGTAGAGTTTTAACATTGACTTTGGGGTCAGGCGAGATTCATGCCTTTAATCCTAGAGAGGCAGGCAGATCTCTGTGAGTTCAAGACCATGCTGGTCTACATAGTGAATTCCAGGACAGCCAGGCGTGGTACCAAACATGGTTGTGCTCCTGGACTGGTTTGTCAGAGAACCTGTTTCAAGAAAAGGAGAAAAAAAGAAAAAGGGAAGAAAAGAAAGATTTAAAAAAAAATTGTCTTTGGGTAAATGAATGCCTGCCTGCTACGCTCTTTAAATGAAGCCCAGATTGCACAGCACCTGATTCCAGGGTCAGTTTTTAAAAATACATATATAAAGGTCTGTGGTCTGTGGTGTCCATATTCATAGGCAAGGAGCTAAAGGCTCATTGAGGGACAGGCTCATTTATCACGTCTCCTAGGACCGTCCACAAGACCACCTTGATTCAAGATTATGACCTGAGCACAGAGGCTGGAGTTCACCTGAGCCACTAGAAGAAGGGATTTGAGGTTTAGTGGATGGAGAACCAGAGAGGGGCACATCTGGGCTACACACAGCCCTGGGGCCCGGGGCAAAGGGCGATGCTGACTCTAGGACTTGACAGGAAGCCTTGGTCCCAGGGCTACTCAGGGCTTCAGAAGTGACAGTACCAGTCTTGGGAAGAGTTCCATGGCAAGGGGTGCCTCTGCAGGTCCCTCTGTCTGAGAACCTGTGGCCGAGGGCTCCCCTGTGGCTGAGGGCTCCCCTGTGGCATGGGCCTCCACTGTTCGCACACTGAGCCTATGTGAGTGGACATACCAGCTCTGAAGTCTTTCTCTCTTCAGAGCTCTGGGATACCAGCAATCTCTGTGGGTGTCCTGTGTTGTCACTACCGTAGGGTGGGGTATCTAGGTACCCTACAATGCCCCAGAAACTTCAGCCCTTGATGGGCCAAGGTTGAGGGCCCTGTCTAGGACACTACAAGAGTTTGGCATGCTGCGGGGTGTATTTGTGTGGGTCAGCTTATGAAGAGATCGTGGTACCAAACATGGTTGTGCTCCTGGACTGGTTTGTCACATTCCCTCACTTCCTTTGGTCTGGATGTGTATTTTGATCTGTGACTTAGAGTAGGGGTGTGTGTGCGCGCGCACTCATGTGTGTGTATGTGTGCATGCATGCGTGTGTCAGAGGTGACAGCATGATTTACTATGTAAGAATTACAGATTCTTAGACAGGGCGGCACCTGTCTGTTGGAGGGGTGTGACAGTGAAGTGGTCTGTCCCCCAAGTGGTAACTTTGTGCAAGAAGGACCCAGCGCCTTCCTAAGTGGGTGCAGGGACTGTCTGCTCAAGCTGGCAATGCTGCGCTCTACAACCTGAGAGGACCTTACAGCTGCGAATGGTGTGCAAGGCTGTTGTGAGTGGAACCGTGAGGGGACAGCAGGGTAACTCGGTGCACCAGCGCGGTTTGGCCTTTGGCATTCTGAGTGTGTCTGTCTGCTCCTGATTTCTGCAAGTGACCTTCTGCCAGACTTGTGTCTGGGGCTGTTGGGAGCACCTTTGACCTGGGCCATAACCATGCGTATCACAAGGCTTAGCCTTGGCCTTGGGTTTTTCCTAGTCCCTGGTGGGGCCCATATGCGTGTACACATCCCATTGTTACCTGAGCATATGTGACAAGTTCCCTGCTTGGGCTTCTTACTGAAGGACAATGGCTCTGGCCTGGATGACCCCAGGCTGAGAGGCTTCTGGGCTCAGACCCAAACCCCAGGCCTAACCAGCCTGCTACATTGTTTCTGTCCTAGCCCCATCCTGAGGGGCTGTTGATTGAGAGGCCCCCAGGGAGTCATTGGGATACCACGGGCAATTAATTCATTAGATTAATTAGCTCCTTTCCCCAGCTGGGGGCAGGGCAGCCCTCAGGGCCCTCCTGCTCCAATCATCCAAGGTCATACAGCCAGACCTCCTCTTAGTGCAGTCTGCTTTGCCCCCACTTACCCAGCCCCCACTCCCTGGCCCTGGTCCAGCTCTGCTGGCCCTAATTTACAGAGACTTGAATGGTGGTGTGACCAGGCCACACTGGTGCATGCAGGCAGGCCCGTGTGTGCACTGTGAGCACTGGCATGTCAACTGTGTCTGGCAGCTGTGTGTGTATATGTGTGAAGGTCTGTGTTCAGCCACACGGGATAGCTAAAGGTGTGGATACAAGGCCATGTTTAGCATCTGTGACCCTCTGTGTGTGTCTGCACATATATGTCTGAATTAATGTATGTTATGTGCATCTTGCTCACATGTACATGTGTATATTTGTTGCAAATATATTTGTTGTGTGCATGAGTGTCAATGTACTGTATGCTCAACAGTCTGTGTGTGTGACTGTGAACAACGTGTCCCTGTGTATGCGTGTGTGTATGCCTGTGAGTCTTGAGCACTTGTATGTGTGCATGATACCTGTGTCTGTATATACCTCCATACTTGTTTATTATATCTATGCACTGTGTGACTTTATCTGAGGAGACTTGAATAAACGTCTGTCCATGGCGCTGGAGAGATGGCTCCGTAGTGAAGGCAGTTGCTACTCCTGAAGAGGCAGGAGGACCTGATTCAGTGCCCAGCACCCACATCAAACAGCTAACATTTGCCTGTAACTCCAACTCCAGGGGATCCGATGCCCTCTCCGAGGGCACCCCTGTGCACATGCACATACCACACAACAACAAAAGGAAATGTCTACTCACCCCAGAGAGGGCACAGCAATACACCGAGGAAATAATTCTGAAATGCAAATCTAGCTTGGTGGAGCAACAAGTTCAAATGGGCTTTCTCACAGGAGTGTGGGACAGAGTGACTCACAGGCATGTGGGCAACATGCAGGCAGCTACACCGTCAAAGAAGAGTTGCCCCTGCACACCCGCAGCATAGTTAGCAACGCTCCTGCTGTGGGGCTTCTCTGTGCTACCTCGTGAGCTGGCATGACCAGTTCCAGTGCCACCTCCAGTGCTTTGAGAGCACCATTTCCACAAGTGCAGTCCTGCAACGCCTCGTGTGGAGCTCTGCTGTCAAGACAGCAGTCTTGCCATCACACTATGTAACCAGGAGTCTCTGAACACTTTGCTTTGCATGTGTATGTGGTCTGTAGCTGAGTGCTTAGATGTGTCTGCATGTCAGTGGCACTGTGTTTGATATGTGCATACATATGTCTGGGTGTGTAGATGTGTCTGTGTGTACATGCACCAATGTGCATATGTTTCTCTGCGTGCACATTTGTCTGTGTGTATGGATTGGGACTGGGCATCAGCTCTGTAAGTGAGCTGTTCCACAAGAGTTCCATTCTGAGTCAGAGCAGACCCAGAGGATGGGACATGGCATATTGGTCTGGTCTGAGTGTGTCCCTGTGTGTGGATTTCTGAAAACAATACATTCTGTAGCAGTGGATGCAGGTGTCTGTGTAACCAACACCGTGTGCACGCGTCTGTGTCTGTGAACTGAGTATTTGTCACAGCTGGCCCCACCCAGCTGCCAAGGCTGAACAACCCCTCCCTTCTGCAGGGCTGCTGTCCCAGAGCCTGGAATTCAGCTCACCTGCGGACAACTACACTGTGTGTGAAGGTGACAACGCCACCCTCAGGTATATCCCAGTTGGGGCTCGGCTCAGGCAGCTTGAAGTTCCACCCACCTTGCATGCACAAGCCCAGAGTGACATCAGCTGCATCTGCAGCCAGCTGTGAGGGATGCGGACACTAAGCCCAGCTCCACCTGTGAACCTTACTGTCCTCTTAAAAGTGGCGAGATGGGAACTGCAAGGATTCAGAACCCTGTAGACCATGATTGCCAGGGAAGAGCGAGGAGTATCAGTCTCTGGGATCTTCTCCTCAGTGGGGTCTCTCTCCCCACCTGGGTCTCTCTCTCTCTCTCTCTCTCTCTCTCTCTCTCTCTCTCTCTCTCTCTCTCCCTCCCTCCCTCCCTCCCTCCCTCCCTCCCTCCCTCCTTCCCTGTCTCCTTTTTCAGGATCTCTGCCCCATCTTTCTTGCTTTCTGTCTCTCTATCTCTCCCCACTTGCCTTTGTTTTTCTCTCAGGGTCTCTGTCCCCCACCCTTTTCCCACTTCGGAGTCAGTCCTCCCCTTCCTCCCTAACACACAGCAGTCTCTCACAAGTCTTACTTCCAGGCCTCTTCCCTCTCTGAGGTCTGCCTCCCAGGGTCCTGCAGGTGTAGTGGCAGTTGATGGGGAAGCCCTTGCCTTCTCTTCTTATTGTTGGCTTCCTCCCCAGCTGCTTCATTGATGAGCATGTGACCAGAGTGGCCTGGCTGAACCGCTCCAACATCCTGTATGCAGGAAATGACCGCTGGACCAGTGACCCCCGAGTGCGGCTGCTCATCAACACCCCTGAAGAGTTCTCAATCCTCATCACCCAGGTGGGGCTTGGTGATGAGGGCCTCTACACCTGCTCCTTCCAGACCCGCCACCAGCCCTACACCACTCAGGTCTACCTCATCGTGCATGGTGAGCCCTGTGTGAAGAGAGGAAGACAAGTGGGGAGGGACAGGAAGGCAGGCCTGCAGAATGGTCAGGGCTAGGCACACTGTGTGTACTCATCCCAGTGCTGATCACTGCCCTGGGATAGAAGTGAGTGGAGCCTGAGCCGCTTCGCCCTGCACCACAGCGGCTCTCTAACAAGGTGTAGGAGGGGTACTCAGCTACAGCTCGGTGCATTTGCTGAGCCGTGTGGAAACAAACCAGCCTGCCTGTCTCTCCCTGTTTGCACTCTTTTCCCCGGAGGAGAGGCTCAGGAGGTTCCTAGACATGAAGAAGGAGGGTTAGGGTATGCACTCCTGGGTGTGAGGGAGCAGGGCTAAAGTCTGGAGTCCTGGATCAAGGAGGAGCTGAGGTCTGCACCCCAGAGTCTGAGGAAATGAGCTTGCGTCTGAGTATGACTCTTGGGTAGGAGGCAGGGCTGACATCTGGACCCTGGATCTGAGGGTGAAGGACTGTGGTGTGCAGTCTACACCCATGGGTGAGTGGGGAGGGTTTGAGCCCACACCCCTGGGTCTAATGGGGTGGAATCTGTAATCCTGGGCCTGATCTTGGGTCTGAAACAGTGGAGCTTAGGTCTGGGTGGCTAGGGATGCACGATCACCCCAACTCTCCCTCTGTCTCCAGTCCCTGCCCGCATTGTGAACATCTCCTCGCCTGTGGCGGTCAATGAAGGGGGCAATGTGAACCTTCTCTGCCTGGCTGTGGGAAGGCCAGAGCCCACTGTCACCTGGAGACAGCTCCGAGGTGAGAATCCTCCCCTCGCCGTGATCTGGGCCCCTCTATTCTCCCACATCCCTAGCTGGACTCCCTCACTCTGAACCCCTGGAGCCCTTCTGGTGACTTGATTCCCCCTACCCTGGCCCCCATTTCTTCCCAGGCTAGGCTCTTATTCCCAGGTCACCTGACACTCCCTGCCCCAGATTCCCTCCACCAGGGATTCTCCTAACTCAGGCCCCAGGCTGGGCTGCATCTAGTGTCCGGCCATTCCACCCCCCTGCAGCAGTTCTAGCCTCTTCTCTTCTGGATCTCGGCATCAGCAGCTCCTGGGAATCTTCCAGAAATGCCCGTTCTTAGACCCCTGCCATAGATCCAGAGCCATCAGGAGCTCCCCTCTCTACCCACAACATGCTTTATGAGTTCTGAGATCCAGTTTCCCCCAAAGGTGCTGCCAACCTGCCTGACATGTCAGGTCAGAACAACAGCACTTCATCCCCACGCCTCGATAGCCCAGTCCCTTGCTCTTCCTGACTCTATGCAAACCCATAATCACCATCACTGGATCCCATTCCTTCAATGCCCTAGGGCAGGAAACCCATTCTAGCCTCATGGTCCTTCATCCTGACCCTTGGTGACTTCTGATCTGAACCCTAGATCGTACTTGCCCTAAATTTTATCTAAACGGTTACTTATGACCTCGTCTGTAAAAAAAAAAAAAAAAAAAAAAAAAAAAAAAAAAAAAAAAAAAAAAACCAACAAACAATAACAAAAGATCCCAGTTATCTGGATTACCAATCTCAATCAGCAGGTCTGAATTTCTTGAATCCAAAAGAACTCTAGACCCTCCCTCATTGTGTCTGCCTTTTCTGGATCCTTGAAAACCAAAAGCCAATATCCTGGCTTTACTCCTTACTCCCAAGTGGGTCCCCTGAGCACGACACAAGATTCCAGATCCCTAAGATCTCTTGCACAAAATTCTAGGTCCTTTGCTACTGGGTTCTGAGATTCCCAGTCCCCCACCTCAGTCCCACCCTGCCCCCATAGGACCTTCCCGGCTCCTACTGACCCCGGGCACTCCAGGCCCTGCTGTGCCCCGCTGATGTGTGTCCGTGTTGTGCCCGTGTTGTCCCGTGTTAAGTGTTTGTGTCCGGCCCTGCACCCCCTTCCCCACCTCCCCCACAGACGGCTTCACCTCAGAGGGCGAGATTCTAGAAATCTCCGACATCCAGAGAGGCCAGGCCGGGGAATACGAATGCATTACTCACAACGGGGTGAATTCGGCGCCTGACAGCCGCCGTGTGCTGGTCACAGTGAATTGTGAGCATCAAGGGGGAGAACTGGCCAACCCTGATGATGGGGAGGAGGAGTCTGCCGCATGAAGCTGGCAGCTGGGTGGGAATTCGGATCTGAAGGAGGGTGCTGAAATGGGGCCCTGAAGTCCCCATGCAGCAAGGACGTGCCTCTGTCCCCCATTTCTCTAAAGATCCCCCGACTATCACCGACGTGACCAGCGCACGAACCGCCCTGGGCCGGGCGGCCCTCCTGCGTTGCGAAGCCATGGCTGTGCCGCCTGCAGATTTCCAGTGGTACAAGGATGACAGGCTGTGAGGACTGCACTGGGCAAGGCCAGGGGAAGAGGGGAGGGGAGGGAGGTCCTAAGTCTCAGATCACAGAGCTAGGATGGAGAAACTGGCAGTGCAAAGGTGCGGAGACCTGGGTCCTGAGAATCTAGGGTCCACTGTGTAGGTTACTGGGTCTGTAGGCTCCTGGAAGAAAGACTACTTCAGGCACCAATATAATGAATGCTAGGATTACTCCCCGCCCTTCCCCCGCGCCACGCAAGGAGGTCTGGGGTCGAGGGTCGATGCTAAAGGTGTGGAAGAGAAATTAAGAGACCACCAGGGCTGAGTTTAAGAGGCATTGGAGATTAGGGACGCATGGTGGGAATGTACTAGAGTGGCCCTGGTGCTTGGAGATGGGATCCGCGGGGAGGCTTGGGGTACATGGGTTACGTAGAGTTCTGAGTCTCTTGGGAGAAGAAAGGAGCCTGGATGTTTGAGGGGGAGCTGGGCACTGCACCCCCAGGGAGGCCGAAACCAACCCTGATCCGGATCCCCGGCAGGCTAAGCAGCGGCTCGGCGGAGGGTCTCAAAGTGCAGACGGAGCGCACCCGCTCCATGCTTCTCTTCGCCAACGTGAGCGCTAGGCACTATGGCAACTACACCTGTCGAGCAGCCAACCGACTTGGAGCGTCCAGCGCCTCCATGCGGCTCCTGCGTGCGTCTGTGCTGGGCGGCGGGGTGGGACAGGGCTGTGGGGGCTGGGCACTGGTGGGGCCCAGATGTCAGTGGGTGGGGTAAGGAGGTGAATACATAGGACTAGCCCCAGAATTTAGGAAACCCCAACGATGCCGAAGAACAAACTGATTCTCAGAGAGTAGGGTACTTTCCTGGCATTCACAAAGTTCTAGACACAAATCCCATTACTATTTGAAGCCAGGACAGTGGTGCACACCGTGATCCCAGCACCCAGGAAGAGAAGGCAGGAAGTTACATAGTGAGTTCAAGGTCTGGGGACTCACGGGGTCTAGTAGAAAAACACTGAACAAATGGACTGATAGATGCATACCAAAGAAACAGATGCATGTGCAGAAATATAGACAGAATTGGGGTGGTAGGGCTGAGATAGGATTGCTGGAGAAAGGGGAGGCCTGTCTGACAAGGAGGACAGCCTTCAGCTGCTCTTAGAGACAGGGAGCTCAGAGCTTCCCAGCGTTGGTGAGCCACTCTGGACTGACTGCACTTCATGCCAAGGCCACTGAAGACTGTTAAATAGTGATTGACACGTGACTGACAAGCACTTTTCTGCTTCAGGAATCCAGTTCCTGCATCTCAAGCTGTTTGCGGGCACAGCCTGCAGGCTGTTATTGGCTGGGTGCAGAAGTGTGAGCAAAGAAATGAGCTGGGTCAAAGTGACTGAGCCAGGGACTTGTATTGCAGGGTGTTATGGCAGGTGTCGGGGAGGCTAAGGAAAGTGCAGGTCCAGCCTAACCAGCTTAGTGAGACCCTACTGTGAAACAGAAAGTAAAGAGAGGTCTGGGCTATAGCTTAATATTTGCTTAGAATCTCCCAGCGAGGGGCTGAGGGTAGCTCAGCGGTAGAGCCCCTACCTAGAATCCCCCACTGAGGAGCTGGGGGTAGCTCAGCGGTAGAGCATTTCTTAGCATGTGCAAATTAGCACAGTCCATTCCCAGCAAAACAAACAAGGTGATAAAAAAAAAAAAACTCACAGTCAAACATGCATAGGCTTCCTGAAGTTTCTGGTGGGCTTAGAAGGTAGAAATGCTGACAGAAATTTTAACAGGAACAAACAAACCCCAAGGATCCAGACTAATCGGTAAAAAGGAAATGGGGGGAACCTGGGAGTATATTGAGACCCAAAACAGTTCTAGAAGAGGCAGACACAGGGACCCCAAACCCTAGACAGTTCTGATCACAGCAGCCCTTGGAGGCTGGAGGGAGAGGAGGCACGTAGGAGAGACCTGCAGGGCCTCCCCATCTCAGCCTCCCTCTGTGACTGTTTCTTTCTTGCCAGGCCCAGGATCCCTGGAGAACTCTGCTCCGAGGCCCCCGGGGCCCCTGACCCTCCTCTCCGCCCTGGGCTGGCTGTGGTGGAGAATGTAGACACCACCCAGTACAGCGCACCTCCCCCTGCAGGGGGCCTCAGGCCAGGAGCAAGAGAAAGGGGGTGAGCAAGCGCCCTGGGTCTCAAGTGGGACAGAAGAGCTCTCAGCCACAGAGGAAGAAAGAAGAGGAGGAGGAAGGTCTTTTAGAGAACCCATCACTGTGAGGGATAACGCAAAATTATGCATCTTTCTACAGCCATTCTCGCCACCTGTTCACGATTCCAATTGTGACCCACCACCCCCAGCCACTCCACACCCCTCTCTTAGCTCAGGCTGTCAACTGGCTCGTGTGTGTGTGTGTGTGTGTGTGTGTGTGCACGTGTGCATGTATATGAGTGAGTCTGCATGTCATGTATGTGTGTATGTGTGTGAAGGTGTGCTGAGGGAGGGAACCACGAGGCCTCCCTCTCTGGACCCAACTCTCCCATGGTCCCTGCCCATTCCTGCTGCCTCTCTTCCTCTGGCTGGAGGTAGGTAAGGGGGCTTCAAGGCGGAAGCTTTGGCAAGAAGCCTGCCAGCTTCCCACCTTCCCATATATGCACGAACCCCTGCCCCTTTCCTCCCTACTCAAGGGGCGGGCGGGCGGGTGGCATCACTCAGCCTTTTTGAATAGGTGGGGATCTTTGTCATGGCTGTTCTCCCTGCTCTGTCACCTGCAGCTGCCTGCAGCCAGAGGCTCTATCACTGACTCAGTGGCTTGAAACCTCCCTTGCCCTATTCCTCCCCCACCCTGGACTTTCTGGCCCCTGTCCTGGGCCAATCGGTGCTTCCATTCAACTGACAGGCAGGCTGGTGGCACTTATCACCTGTCTGTCTCAGTGCTTTGTCCCACTCAGACCCCCAGACTCCCCTTGGCCACAGTGGCACTCTCCAGTTGCCCTGCAACTGACTCACAAGCATGGGCTCCCTGGCCGCCTGCTTCCTTGCCTCTCAACCCCTAGTACCTCCAAAGGCTGCTGTGACACACAAACACACGCGCGCGCGCGCGCGCACACACACACACACACACACACACACACACACACACACACACACACACACACCAGCGATTGACCAGCAATAGCTCCTGGCTTCAGCTGCCCCAGAGTTTGTGACTAGCAGTAATTCCCTCAGAGTAGACCACTATTATCCAACAGAGGAAGCTTCCAGGCTCTGTGTGTGGGAACACCCTGCCCTGATCCACCAGGCCTCACAGAGTTGAGGAGAGAGGAGACTCGGGCATCCTGAACCCAGGCAGAGGCACCATGCCACCAGCCCTAACTTCAGTAACCACACACCCCAAACCATACCACTCAGAGCCTGGTGAAGACGAGGGCAGAGAGGGGCAAGGAGGCAAGGGGCAGTGACTGTACCTCAGACGGGGGCGTGGGCCCCATCCTACATTGTCTTCCATTCCCAGGGCCTGGGATGGGGTGGGGAGGGGGAGGGCATCTAGGGGAGGTGGGAGGGGGGCCCTGGGAGCCGTGTGTTCCAGTTCATGGGGAGTGTTGAGACCACCACACCAATAAACGCCTTTTTCCAAAGTCCCTGCCTGTGGAAACCAATGTCACTGAGGATTTGGGCAAGTGGATGGCAAAGGAGGTGTGGCCATTTGGTAGAAAATCAGCAGCGCCATTCCCACCTCTGCCTGTTAGGGAGGTAACCGCCAACTGACCTAAGCTGCCCTGCGCCCATTCATGTTTGGCTCAATGGGCACATGGACCCAGTGATGCTAAGTAAGGAGAAGGGGCACTGTCTCCAGGAAGGGCAGGTTCTCCTGCTGTCTCAGCCTGAGCATGCAGTGTGGCCTCATTATGTGGACAGGGAGGTGTATGGGGGTAGCAGTGAGGAAGAGGTAGAGCAGCTGGACTAAAACCTTCCTGAGCACACTCTCCCACACACAAGCAATAAAGCCCGTGTTTGTATAAGCTAACGTATCAGGCTTTCTGTTGGCAGTGAAAAATAGGCAGAAACTCTTGATTTTTCTCCCCTTTTGTATGTACAGTATTAGGGATTGAAGCCCATATTCAGTCCTCACTGGGATCTAGACAGAAGCTCCACCCCTGAGTCACATTCCCGCCTCCTCGCTGGGGGATTCTAGGCAGCTGCTCTGCTACTGAGCCACATCCCAAGTCCTTAGTGTTCTGAGACAAGGTCTCCCAATGAAACGCTGACCTTGAGCACGTGATCTTCCTACTCAAGCTCCCAAGTGTTCGTCGCCCTGGACTGGGCTGCCTGGCTGCATGCATTGCTACTTGCAGCCATAAGATCCTCACTGCTCAGTCTGGGTTTCCCACGAGAATTCTGGTTGAGAAAGGAAGCATGTCTGGCCAAGGCCAGCAGTGGCGGTGGCAGCTCTCCACAGGCGCTAGACCATCTCGTCAGTCCACACATGTTTATTGAGTGCCTGCTGGTGCTGGGCACTGTTTCTGCTGGGAGAATAGTGTGGTGTGTGCCTCACTGAGCTCTCAGTTCAGAGACATCTGTGGTTGTACGCTTACGGGACCAGAGGGAAGCTGGGGACGATGGGACTTCACTCACACTCTAGGGGCAAAGAGCGGGAGAGGAGGAAAGTATGGTCGGCAGAAGGCCTATGGAGGAGTCTTGGGAGGAGAAATCACAGGGGTTGACAGAAGCCAAACCACAGACCTCAAAGGTTAGATAGCAGAGACTTAATGATGTCTAAACACTATGTGCAATCATAGAAAAAATTTAGAAAGAGCTGACAGAGAGAAGCCATGACAGTGTATTGCTGTCGTTTCAGCACCCAGGAAGTTGAAGCAGGAAGACTGGGAAAGTGTGAGGCCAGTCAGGTCTGTGTTAGGAGAGCCTTGCTCAAAAACACAAAACAAATAAAACCAAAAACAAAACAAAAAAACAAACAGAAAGGGAGGTATGTGAGGTGGCCCGTGCCTGCAATCCCAGAACTTGGGAGACTGGGACAGAAGAGTCAGGAGTTCAGGGCCAGCCTGGGCTATCTAACAAGTCTGAAGCCAGCCTGGGCTACATGAGACTCTGAGTCAAATAAAACAAAGCACAAAGGAAATCAAGAGATGGGGGAGGAAGTGGGGAATAGGATATGTGGGAGATCTCCTGTGTTGAATGACGGGAGTCTCTGGAAGCTGAAGTGGGTGAACTGGATGAGGCAGGAGAAGGTAGCAGACCTTTGCGGAAGCTGTAGCCAGGCTTCCCTTCTGCTTGGGTCTAAAGAGCAAGCCCTACATGTTAAAGGTTCTGAGTTTGTGCCAACCACATAGGTCCATCTGTAGGTGGCTCTCCTATCCCTAGAGTCACATTGATATCCTCAGATGCAGACGTACAAGTTGAGTCTTCTGAGACAAGAGGGACATAGGATGTCCACCCTAGGGTCCAATCCTCAGTCATAGTAGGTCCCATGTTGCTGGGCCAAAGAGGAAGCTGCACCCCAAAATGCTTCGTGGAGAGTGGGCCAGCAGCTTTTGTCATACCTGGGTGACCGCCCGAACAGTCCATGAGCTGCCACCTGGACCGAAAGTTGAACTGGGGCTGATGACCTGGAAGAGAGGCAGGGTAGGAGGCGACTTTAGGGGGTACCCTGCCTACAAAATGACATACCCCCCCTAACCTTCCAGCTGGAGCCAGAGCCTTTCAGAAACTAGCTGAGGGGCTGGAGAGATGGCTCGGTGGTTAAGGACACATGTTACTTTTGCAAAGGACCTGGGTTTAATTCCTCACAACTGTCTGTAACTCCAGTTCTGGGGGATCTGATGCGCTCTTCTGGCCTCTGTGAGCACTGCCTGCTTGTGGAGCACAGGCATACAATAACACACATAAAATAAAAATAAATAAATCTTAAGGAACCTGAGTTCCTTTTCCTTTGCCTCCTCATCCCCCTTCTTTTCTTTCTTTCTTTCTTTCTTATTTATTTTGTGGGTATTTTGTTGTTTTTTTTTTCTTTTCTGTCTGAGACAGGGTCCTGCTATATCACCCAGGATGACCTTGAATTTGCAATGATCCTCCTGCTCAACCTCCCAATTGCTATGATTACAGGTGTGGATCCTCTGTGTGCTAATAAAAAAACTGCTTGGCTATCTGTGGGAGAGCCAAGGCACTCAACAGCTCAACTCTTACAGGAAAACAAGGATATTCCATCTACCTCAGAGTTTAAAAATAGAAGTCTGGAGTAATTTTTCTGAGAAAAAGAAGTCTCATCTCACTCTCCTTTGGAAGATAAACTGTAATTTATATTCTTTTAATATACATAAGAGCTGGGCAGGAAGTCTAATTACCAGTATTCAAAACAAAATATGAGAGGCTGAGGCTGTAGCTTAGTTGGTAGAGTGTTGCTTAGAATATATAGGTCCCAGGTCCCATCCTAGATCTACGTAAACAGGTGTGATGTCACTGAACATAAGAGGTAGAGGCAGGAGGATTCCTGGTCATATAGTTGTGATATAGACCAAGGCCCTGTTGCCAATCAATCAAGCAATGCATAAATGGAATCAGCTTTATCAACCTTTGTGTGCTGACTAGTTTTATGTCAACTCGACACAGCCTATAGTCGTTTGAGACATGGGAACTTCAACTGAGAAAATGCCTCCATAAACTAGGGCTGCGGGCAAGTTTATGGGGCAGATTCCCAATTAGTGATTAACTTGGGAAGGCCCAGTCCACTGTGGGCGGGCCACCTCTGGGCTGGTGGTCCTGGGTTCTATAAGAAAGCAGGTTGAGCAAGACAGTGAGCAGCATCTCTCTATGGCTGCCAGGTTCCTGCCTTGTTTGACTTCCTGTCCTCACTGACTTCCTTTGAAAAGGAACTGTGGTGTGAAAGTGAGAGCCCAATAAACCCTTTCCTGTCCATGTTGCTTTGGTCGTGGTGTTTCATCACAGCAACTGCAATCCTAACGAGGACACTTTCTAAGTCATGAATAAAAACTAGGAGGAAGACATTAGAAAATGGCATTAGAATACCCTCTTCTTTCAGGCAGCTACTTGACCCCCTTGGCAGAAGGAAACGATACCCACACTCACTTGTTGGGCCTTAACTGGGCGAGGGCTCTGCAGCTGGCTTTTGATGGGCAACGGCTGTGGTGTCT